TGTATGTGATACGTTATAGGTCGGTATAGGATGTATGTGTTACGTTATGTCTCGGTATATGATGTATGTGTTACGTTATGTCTCGGTATATGATGTATGTGTTACGTTATGGCTTGGTATGTGATGTATGTGATACGTTATGGGTCGGTATAGGATGTATGTGTTACGTTATGTCTCGGTATATGATGTATGTGTTACGTTATGTCTCGGTATATGATGTATGTGATACGTTATGGGTCGGTATATGATATATATGTAATTGCAGAGACCGTTTATTCTTATAGTCCTGACAAGGTAGCTTCACTACCTGTCGAAGACATCTAATGGTGGGAGGTGCTTTATGTTGTCTAAGTCATACTACTGCTGAGCGGATACCTTACCAGTCGACACGACTTATGTGTGAACATTTTATATTAATGTTTTCTTAGTTTTATTTAGTCAAAAACAATATTTATGTACATAGCAACGGCATTGCTGTGAAAGTCTTTACAGGTGTGGGTATACGGAACGCCAAACACAGACTAAGATAATATATGAAAAACATGTTATACAAGTACTTATGAATAAGTAAAGTCTGAGACGAAATTGTTTAAACATCGATATTTTTGGTCGTGTTTGCATTATGTAAATTCAAAGCAAAATGATATAAATATGTCAAGAAATAATTAGAATTTCTTATCGGAAGGATTAACTCGGTCAAGTTGTTGTCAAAGAAAAAAAAACTATCGTAAAGGTAAGTACAGTTCTGTCTTTTTTGCCCTCGATGCAAATATTGGCTTTGTCAATAACATTCCGTTTCGCAACATATTTGATGACGGTACCAATTATTATGTAGGCCACACATTTCGGGGCATTGGTTCTGTGGCTAACGAGTGTAATGTAATCACAGCGAAATAATGCTAGCTTTCCATCCGTCATCGAGGCCGAAATTCCGATCTTTGTAAACACCCGACGAGAACACCGACCATGTACAAATACGTGATCTAATCGCTGTTGATTACACATTGTCATATATATTAAGACTTGGTAGATTCATACACTCATGTATACATACGACTCCTATATATATGAAGAAAGCATGTATGACTAGCACAGCGCTATAGACATAAAATTAAAGGTATTCTTCATTTCCTCAGATTTGTCCTCAGATCAGTGATGGCTGATTCTATTTATATACACGGTACAGTATCCTTCAAAACTGGCTATCTGTAACCTGTTTGACAAATGAAGCGAGTTTCATACCCAAGGAGGATCATGCAGGTCGAATTTCGCCAAAATTATACAACTATATGACTACATGCGATGATTGCATCAATTTGGAAAAAAATGCTAACTGGTTCCATGTCGAGTTCGGCTGAATTTCCACGTTTGATATTGAGGATAGGTAAGTGAAATAAATAGCCCACAACGTTGTAATACCCACGGATATTAAGCTGAAGATTGCACAAAAGACACATAAGTGCATAGCACCTTTTAACAATTTAGGGCGAGATACAATAGAGACAAACAATAAATAAAACTGAATCATGCAGCTGGTTCGTCCTTCTAGGACTCGTCAGTGATGCTACATCATACAGCTGGTTCGTCCTTCTAGGACTCGTCAGTGATGCTACATCATACAGCTGGTTCGTCCTTCTACGACTCGTCAATGATACTACATCATACAGCTGGTTCGTCCTTCTAGGACTCGTCAGTGATGCTACATCATACAGCTGGTTCGTCCTTCTAGGACTCGTCAATGATGCTAAAATTTTGAAGCCTAGGAGGCGAATAAGGAAATCCAAAGTGACAGAGAGAAAAGTCAAAATCAGGACAGGGAGGTGCATTAGCCAAATGATTAGATAAATTTCGTAATTTGCATACATCCTACACTTTTACAAAATCGTCAGGTACATGTGTATTTTCTGAACCGTGCCACTATTCGATTGAAATAAAACATGGCAATCAATTAACGGCAAACCTCGGAAACTTTAAGTCTACAAGCAGTGTCTAGCACCTGCTATATCAAAGATTGTTTAAAAAGCGCACAAGTGAATAGCACCTTTTAATAATTAAGAGTGAGATACAGCAGAGTCAAACAATGAATTAAATTGCATCATACAGCTGTTTCGTCCTTCTAGGACTCGTCTGAAAAAACAATTGAATTGGTGTGAATGGTCAATGCGTACGCTCACAAAAATCTGAGACTTGAATCCTTTTCATCCGTATGAATTTGTAGATATATACTTGTATATCTATAGTTACCTGTATCCTAGATTACTTTTTGCACCTGTATACCACAAGTAACCTGGATACACAGCTTATCTGTCTTCTCTAGGTTACCTGTACACCACAGGTTACCTATATCCCCTGAATTGCCTATAAGTCACTGGTAACTACCACAGGCACCCTGTTTACCCTAGGCTACCTATATACCATAGGTATCTGCCATTGGTTAGCCTAGGTTACAAATATGCCACTGGTAACTACCACAGGTTCCCTGTTTACCCTAGCCTACCTATATACCATAGGTATCTGCCATTGGTTAGGCTAGGTTACCTATATGCCACAGAACACGTTGTTGAATTAATCTTTTATATGTTTCAGGTTATAAGAATGAAAATATATACAGTCTGCAGATAGGGTTCGAATACTTAAAAGGATAACACATTGTTATGTTTATGTATGTTACACTAAGTAGGTGATATATATATTTTACATTAAGTAGGTGATATATATATGTTACATTAAGTAGGTGTTATATATATATATATATGTTATATATATATTACATTAGGTAGGTTTTATATATATATTACATTAAATAGGTGTTATATATATATTACATTAGGTAGGTGTTATATATATATTACATTAGGTAGGTTTATATATATATTATATTAGGTAGGTGTTATATATATATTACATTATGTAGGTGTTATATATATATTACATTAGGTAGGTGTTATATATATATATATATTACATATATGTAGGTAGGTGTTATATATATATTACATTAGGTAGGTGTTATATATATATTACATTAGGTAGGTGTTATATATATATATACATTAGGTAGGTGTTATATATATATTACATTAGGTAGGTGTTATATATATATTACATTAGGTAGGTGTTATATATATATTACATTAGGTAGGTGTTATATATATATTACATTAGGTAGGTGTTATATATATATTATATATATATATTACATTAGGTAGGTTATATATATATGTTACATTATATATATATATATTACATTAGGTAGGTGTTATATATATATTACATTAGGTAGGTGTTATATATATATTACATTAGGTAGGTGTTATATATATATTACATTAGGTGTTATAAAGGTAGGTTATATATATATATATTACATAGGTGTTATATATATATTACATTAGGTATATATATATATTACATTAGGTTATATATATATATTAGGTGTATATATATATATATATTACATTAGGTAGGTGTTAGGTGTTATATATATATTACATTAGGTAGGTGTTATATATATATTACATTAAATAGGTGTTATATATATATTACATTAAGGTAGGTGTATATATATATATTACATTAGGTAGGTGTTATATATATATTACATTAAATAGGTGTTATATATATATTACATTAGGTAGGTGTTATATATATATTACATTAGGTAGGTGTTATATATATATTACATTATATATATATATTACATTAAATAGGTGTTATATATATATTACATTAGGTAGGTGTTATATATTAAATAGGTGTTATATATATATATATTACATTAGGTAGGTGTTATATATATTACATTAGGTAGATGTTATATATATATGTTACATTAAGTAGGTGTTATATATATATATTACATTAGGTAGGTGTTATATATATATTACATTAGGTAGGTGTTATATATATATTACATTAGGTAGGTGTTATATATATATTACATTAGGTAGGTGTTTATATATATATTACATTAGGTAGGTGTTATATATATATATTACATTAGGTAGGTGTATATATATATATTACATTAGGTAGGTGTTATATATATATATATATATATATATTACATTAGGTAGGTGTTATATATATATTACATTTAGGTGTTATATATTATATATATATTACATTAGGTAGGTGTTATATATATATTACATTAGGTAGGTGTATATATATATATTACATTAGGTAGTGTACATTACATTAGGTAGGTGTTATATATATATTACATTAGGTAGGTGTATATATATATATTACATTAGGTAGGTGTTATATATATATACATTAGGTAGGTGTTATATATATATTACATTAGGTAGGTGTTATATATATATTACATTAGGTAGGTGTATATATATATATTACATTAGGTAGGTGTTATATATATATTACATTAGGTAGGTGTTATATATATATATACATTAGGTAGGTGTTATATATATATTACATATGTATATATATATATATATTACATTAGGTAGGTGTTATATATATATTACATTAGGTAGGTGTTATATATATATATATATTACATTAGGTAGGTGTTATATATATATATATATAGGTGTTATATATATATTACATTAGGTAGGTGTTATATATATGTTACATTAAGTAGGTGTTATATATATATATTACATTAGGTAGGTGTTATATCTATGTTACATTAAGTAAGTGTTATATATATGATACATTAGGTAGGTGTTATATATATGATACATTAAGTAGTAAGTACACATAGTGTATTACATATTGTAAGATAGGGTTATCACGGAGGACATGATCAAGGACACTAGTCAATTAGCAAGTTTTGCCTGTATTGCTTGTCAGCGGTAAGTGATGGAGCACCGCGGATGTTTTTCTAAGTTCCCATTTTTAAACGATTACTTTTGCAATGGGAATGCGATTTTATACGTATTAGGAAGTTATACTTTTTTTCTGTAAGAAAATTGCAGAAGGTGTATAAAGATTAAATATCAGCTCAATAACTGTAACGGCCTTACCTGTGATCGGGGATTCCAAGCAAAAACACGCTGATCACCATATGGAATGCCGAAAAAATAAACGGGATACATATCAGGAAAAAGATACGTTTCTGATAAGGTCCAAATTCTCCAATGATGCTCAAAACTTCTTCAAACTTCTTCATTTTGGACAGAACTTATAGAGCGGTAGCCTTCTGTCGTTTTAATAGGGGAATCGTGTGCATATACCGGTGTTTATAATTTGCAAGGACTGACACGCCCATATGCCATTTTTCATACTGGTACGAGCGTGCGCACTTGACACGGATAATGTAGGCAGAGACGAGGTGAAAAAAAAAACAGCGAAACGGTTATCAAAAGCTTGACTTATCTTTTTCATTCAGTTATGTTTATATATCTATCATACATAACGCCACTGTGTTTACAGATGACTTACACACACTCCATACTATTGTTATTTTTTTCAGTTTTTTTTTCTTATTATTTTTTCAAATGTTAGAATAGAGAGCGTTTTATGATGGATCCTTAGTATTGTGAAAAAAAAATCCCGCCCCTGAATTGGAACAATCTCGATACTTATGGACTACGTTGAAAACTGTGCCAGAGAATTGGTGAAACGAGAATATGCTGCGTTGTGTTCACCTTCTGGATATGTTATACCCATTCGGTTTATCATCATACTTAAGCAAATTTGTAGCTTGAAATCTAAAATGGAAACAAAACACGTCAGCTTTCCTCGATCTTGATGTTAAATTCACATTTCAAGATTAACACCACTGGCATGTTATTGTGCCTGCAGATAAAGCGTCCGATAACTTGATCCCTCTCTGGAAACATTATTATATTTCTTATATAAGAAAATGAACTAGGATTGCTTGAAAACTTAGGAAACCCCGCCACACATTACGTAATATTTTCACAGAGGAAATACTGGCTAATCATGCTTTCGTTTTTCAATTATTGAAGTCACCTAATACTGATAAGGATACCTTCCTCTCCCGTTTATATTGGATTTCTAAACTTCACACGAATCTATATAATGAACATTTTATTGTTGGCTCGTGTAGCTGTTTAGCGAAACCTTTGTCAAGACTACAACCCAACATTCTTGACACTATCAAATCCGGGTTACAGTCTTAATTTGATGCTGTTTCCTCAAGAAGTAAACGTTTGTGGATTTCAAAAGAACTCCAAAGAGCTTTTGAACAATATTCAACATTTCCTTTAAAAACATTCTTCTATAAAAACATTTGCTCATCCTGTATATCAACATACCCCATTTTAAACTGAAAGAACGCCTGCGTTCTCTTATAATGTACGCTTTCTTTTCCAAGGAAGGTGAACGATGGTACAAATTTGTGGTTGAGAACTATGCTGGAGCGTATTTCGTGAAACATTTGTCCAAATCTAAGAATATATACATAACTGTAAATTTTAATTGTAGACTTAAGCAATTGTACCAAACATACACGGATGATTTATACTTTTCGATACAAATTTACAATTAAATACAGTCGAGTAAGATAATGAAAAAATGCATCCTACAGGCAAAGTCAAGTAGCGACACTACTCTATTAGCCACACCAAACAGTTCAAATGAATTAATTTATTATCTTAATTACTCCGTAAAAGCAAGTGCGTGACTAATTAGCATTTGTACAGCAACATAAAATCTCATGATATTATGGGGTAAGGCCACCTTCCTATCTCTATTCCGATATTTTGTTTGGCGAAGTCTGACTTTTCTTAGTCGTCTTCTAGATTCCAAACCTTTAGGCCCCTATCATCAATTATGAGTTCTAGCCATACATAACGGCTGTACCATGCTGTTTTTTCATCTTTGGTAATATGCAATACTGAATTACCTTTGACTGAAAGGCAATTTTCACTTGCGTTAAGTAAATGCACGGCTGCCTATTCGATAATAACAATGAGTATCTTTCTCTGTGTGACAAGGTAGGAGAATCTTTTTTGGCATAGGAGTACTGGTGGATTCACACATGAAAAATCAATGCTATCAAAGACGAAATATTAAAATGTTCATGTTGAGAGACTGGAACAGCAAATATAATCATTGGAAAAACAGCTGGATAAATGCTTTCGTTTCCCGATTTTAGTTCTAAAGTTTCTTAATAACATCGTCAGGATTCCTAATTTGGGAATTGCCCATTAAGAAACAAGTGACTCTCCATTGTTGTATATCTGTCTACAAAGTATTAGCATCATGGAAGTATGTCTCAAACACGTGTTGTAGATGTAAGTGGCCAGATGTTCAAGCAATAAGTACATAATCAAGAAAGGATTTTACAATAAAAAATTACTGAAAACACTCGATAGCATTGATGTGCTTTATAAAAGCATTTCGAGCAACATTTGGCCCTTAGTGTGGTCTTGACTTGGTGGCATTTATATAAATCGTTCGTGTTTGACGTATGGCTAACCAAAAATTAACAGATGCACAATTGACGCCATAATAATATACAGCAAGTGTGATCGACTGCACGAATCTTGGTGCAAAAACAAGTGGACTTCAAAATCGTGACACGTCGAATAATGCTGCGAGGTGAATTTCTGGAACGGTTTAACGACACTCATACGTCAGAACTAGAAACACTTTAATACAAACAACGTAACTTGATATTCAGAAGAGACATCATTAAACTGGTATGACCGGTTCCGACCTTGACCGAAAGCAATGAAAAATATTTTTTTAAACATCTTGAAATTGAAAAGGAGCGTATAAACGGCAAAAGTACATAGCTATTGAAGCAAATTAGATTGCAAGTTATCGTAATTTAAAAAAGAACACATGCTATTCGTAGATGGTAAATTAAAATTCGACAGGTTCACAAAATCAGAATGATTCCCGGTTATAGGTGTGGCAGGGCAACATTTTGTAAAGCAAAAACTTAACTAGCAATTGATGGTACTAATTTCCAACTGTGACCATAGGATCGAGAAGGGACTAACTGACAATAATTTATGTTTATTACGATACATGGCAAATGAAAAGGATGTGTTCATTATTTGAAATGAGTTTATTGGTGTCAAAGAAAACATTGATGTGGTGCGGTAATTATTCATAGTTATAGAGTAGCATTATTAAAACGGTGTTTACTACTAATCATTTGAAGAAAGTAAATGTAACGTCAAGCTGTTTTGGGGAAAGGGAAAACAATAAAATAGTCTACACTATTGTTCTGTCAATATAATTTAAAATATCAACCTTTAACGATAGCTGCTTAGGGCTACCAAACATATTCGGTCCAACGGAACAAATGAACATAAACAGCAAAGAAAATATACCGAAATGTAAAAAATAACCTAAATTTAAACTAGAGATCGATGGAAAGTGCGCAAAATGTAGACAAAATAAACATTTACATACAGACTCTTGAAGAAGTAAAAGGAGAATAAAAAAAAACATGTTTGGGAAGATTATCCATCTTCTGTTTCATTGAAGTAAGTAAGTGATATCACGTTCCAAATGAGAATATTGCCGACAAGATCAGAACCACCATCAAACACCGTACAAGGAAATAGAATACCTCTCGATGAGATCATTATGTCGACCATAAAACTTCCCAGTAATCTTTAATCCACTTTTATGTCATTAAAACCATTGTTGCGAGTTTAATTGTTAGTTCTTGTTATCTTTCTTGAAAATAATGAAATTGGGAATAAACTATTGAATATCGAATTAACTACGATATGTAGACGTCACAGGTTGGCAATGCAGGAATGCTGCTATTTAGAAATGGGAAATTCATAACAGTGTTACTAAACTCATCACGGTTATCATACAGCTTGGTGAATAAGCTTCTAATTTTGAATTCTTTTAAGTAGCACATCGAAGAGAGGGACTGAAGTAGAAGTGTCTGTCATGTCTTTGATTTCCAGTTCTGGTAGATATATCCGATGGTCATATTCAGTCGACAGAGGAGCAAACTTTATTCACACATGTATGCGAAAGATCTTACCACTTAACCCGACGAAGATGTTGTCAGATAAATGCCCTACCTGGGGTCTTAGGGCGAGGAAGGCTCAAAAGGGGAGCTTTGGCTATTCTTTTTAAATGCTCTGTTTTTAGAAGATCTAGAACTGAGGGGTTGCTTGTGAATACTTTCGGAAAGGCATAAAAGTCATGGAATGTTGCGTTGCTTGGTCAGATGGTAACAGATACAGATTTGTTTTGCAATTGACAGTAAAAGACCTCACAAACCTCACAAACACATTAAACATGTAATTGTACCTGGTGACCCTAGTGACAAACTCCAGTACGATGTATTTAAAACATTCAGTTTTTTATATTTAAAAAAGCCACATACAAAAAACTACAAAATGATAGTTTTATCTTGCCTTTCGGTAGTAACATGATTTTGTCAACAATCTGTATACACAAAATTTTATAGGAATAAGTGTGAAGGTTATCGAATAATCAGGACGGAAATCTAATATGTTAAGGATTTACAAATGTTTTTCCAAGAGACCCCTGGATTATTGTTTGGTCAGAATTCTCATGATATTTCATTATTTTCATCCGACAGGCTACTTTCGAATTCATTTCATTTCATATATGTAGAACACGTTTTTATCTTGGTGGAGTATTTTACAGGAAAACTACGGTGTCGTCATTTATAAATAAAGAAAGAAGAAATGAAATGTTATCGTTACATATTAAATTATTATCAACTTAGGTGCTATAACTAAAATGACTCAAAAATCAAAATATATGAATGAGTGAGGAAACTTTTTACCCCTTGTATTGGATAAAGAAAACGTGCATCGGCCGGGAATCGAACCCGGGCCTCCCGCGTGGCAGGCGAGAATTCTACCACTGAACCACCGATGCTTCATATCTGAATTACAACATATGAGTAAATGTTCAATCTCTGTTGGTTTGTCTTATTTCATAAACTGTTAGGTAATTTTGAAACAAAATAACGGAGAAATTAAGTGATTGGAACATAATTCAATATCACAAACTTTCCTATCTTCTTTAAGATTTTGAGACATTGTTTTAATATGGAAAATGATATTACCATATTTGGCATGTCAATTTACCATGTTATCATGTTTTGTATATAGAAATTTCTTTTAATTTCGACCAATTTGTTGTAATACATCAATCAGTGCACGGGCCAGGAATCGAACACATGACTAGTGTGTTGTGAGGGTGATCATCTGTGACCATCGGTCGTGCTTTGTTTTCCTTTGATTACACCACGGATATGAGGTAAGTAATGCAGTTTTTCTTCGGAGATAACCTAACAGTTAAAAGAAAAGGCAGAACCATTACATATTGTACATCAAGAGGATAAAGTATATTCTCAAGTACTGATTTCTAGATATGGTGTCGCCATTGATAAAAAGCGAGAAGAAATAAATTGATTCCACTACTTACGAAGAGATATTACTAGCTTAGGTAACTAAATTGACTCAAAAATCAAAAAATATTTGAGAAGTGAAGATACTTTTTCCCCCATTGCATTGGATAACAAAATCGTGCATCGGCCGGGAATCGAACCCGGGCCTCCCGCGTGGCAGGCGAGAATTCTACCACTGAACCACCGAATCTTCGTATCTAAATTACAACATATGAGTAAATGCTCAATCTCTGTTGGTTTGTCTTATTTCATAAACTGTTAGGTAATCTTAAAACAAAATAACGGAGAAATTAAGTGATTGGAATATAATTCAATATCACAAACTTTCTTGTCTTCTTTAAGATTCTGAGACATTGTTTTAATATGGAGAATGATATTACCATATTTGGCATTTCAATTTACCATGTTATCATGTTTTGTATATAGAAATTTCCTTTAATTTCGACCGATTGGTTGTAATACATCAATCAGAGCACCGGTCAGGAATCGAACACATGACTAGTGTGTTGTGAGGGTGATCATCTGTGACCATCGGTCGTGCTTTGTTTTCCTTTGATTACACCACGGATATGAGGTAAGTAATGCAGTTTTTCTTCGGAGATAACCTAACAGTTAAAAGAAAAGGCAGAACCATTACATATTGTACATCAAGAGGATAAAGTATATTCTCAAATACTGATTTCTAGATATGGTGTCGCCATTGATAAAAAGCGAGAAGAAATAAATTGATTCCACTACTTACGAAGAGATATTACTAGCTTAGGTAACTAAATTGACTCAAACATCAAAAAATATTTGAGAGTGAAGATACTTTTTTCCCCTATTGAATTTGATAATAAAAACGTGCATCGGCCGGGAAACGAACCCGGGCTTCCCGCGTGGCAGGCGAGAATTCTACCACTGAACCGCCGATGCTTCATATCAAATCTATCATTTGCGAAAAATCCTGTAATCCCTTGAGGTGTTATATCTTATGGTTGTCGTAATTAATAAACTGTTAGGTAATGTTGAAAGAAAATAACAGAGAAATGAAGTTATTCGAATATAATGTAATATGATAAGCTCTCTTACCTTTGAAAGAACACATGACAACTGTGTTTTTATCATCGGTCGTGGTTTACCTGCCATTGATTACACAGGAAATATGCTGAAAGTATCGATATCCCTGGATATTTTCTCTGCTATCATATATTTTTTCCATTGCTACCCTATATTTTCCTGTGCTACCGACGTGATTCCTTTGCTAGCCTATAATTTTCTCTGTTATCCTATAATTTCCTCTATTACCCTTTCATCTCCTCTACTACCATCATCCGCTATCGTACCAAGTATATCTCATTTAAGAAGATTTCTCGTTCTCTTTATTAACAGCCTTATATCCTTCTAGTGTCGTTATATAGTTTATACAATGACTATTCTTTAACATCATCCACTTATCTCGACATTTTCCTACAGCAAACAAGCATGGACAGTTTTTCACAAAGCTGTATAATAACCGTGATAATTCGTATTTCCCTTATGTATATGTGAATTTTCCATTTCTGGATAGCAACAACACTGCATCCCCAACCTTTGGTGCTAACATGTCGTTGTTGATTCGATATTCAGTTCCCTTTTCCCAATATCACAATTTCCGTGCAAAATGTCAACTGAAGGACAATTCATAACAGATTGTTTCAAAAGATATAAGTTGTTAAAAATTATGCGGAAGTTTCACCGTCGTCATTGTAATCTCTTTGTACGATATAAATCTGGACGTGTTTGACGCTCGCTAACATACCTGTAAGTTACCGTAGATGAGGCAGCAGACACTTACTTATCTGGTTCCCCTTTGTGCTTTATCTGGTGAGTCCGTGTCTCTTGTTCGTGTTTTGCCCTAGGTTTTATCGAAGTTGAGATTGGGTTATAATTATGTTCATATATTGGTGGAGTTTTTTCTCTTGTTTCCGATACGATATGTGAAGATGAGTAACGTCTTGCGATAATGTCAAGAAAATAAACATTGTAAATAGGATTCGAGGAGAGACGTGCAATGCACACGGCAGAAATATACCATTATGTAGTTGTTACGCAATCTGTATAGCACAGAAAGAGTTATTTCCCTTTAGTTAATACTCGCACGGTTAAATATCAAGTACTATCGTAAGCATTTTCAACGTGTTCGTGAATAAGATTCATATAATGTGTGTGACTTTAAAGTTATATCTACGGAAGGTAACGATATTAACTGCAAAAAACATATCAATTATCAGTGAATCTGCTCAACACCGTCTACCTACCCTGCCGTCAAATGACGATCTTGTTTTTGTCTGGTTTTGTTCTTCAAAATATTTCAATACTGGCAATCAAAACAAAAGGAATAATTTATACACAGCGATCCCCACCTCCTCATACCATAGAGGCTTCCGTCTCTTCTGAGATAGTTGTGACAACACTTAGTCGTTGATGAAATTGTTATTGATATGGAAAGGTTAATCGTTGGTGATGATGCATGGTATATGGAAAGGAATGATATACAGTACTGTTTGGTGAAGAAGTTGTTTAATAATTAATCGTTAGTGATGATGTATGGTATATGGAAAGGAATTATACACAGTACTGTTTGGTGAAGAAGTTGTTTAATAGTTAATCGTTAGTGATGATGTATGGTATATGGAAAGGAATTATATACAGTACTGTTTGGTGAAGAAGTTGTTTAATAATTTAAGAATTAAATGAGACTTACCTGTAAGTTGAAATTTTATTGTAATTCTGTCTTCACTCCTGGAGGTGCATCGGGATCACATGAGATGCGTGCGCATCGTTAGCAGTCATTCTTCAAAGATGTGAGTGAACACTACCAAGTACTAACTTGATGAGGTATAGGAACCAACTATAAAAACACTAAGTTCCAAGATATTCCAAGAAGGGGACGGGTAAAAAGGGAGGGCATGTGATCCCGATGCACCTCCAGGAGTGAAGACAGAATTACAATCAAATTTCAACTTACAGGTAAGTCTCATTTAATTCTTAAATTCTGTCATTCACTCCTGGATGGTACATCCGGGATCCCATGAGATGTTCAAAGAGAGTGTTCACGAACAAATAAGTAATGCAAGGTATAGAATTAAATGTTATATTGAACAACTCAAACATATGTACATACAAGAATATATATATGTGTGCATATAACTGGTAACATGAAGTTAAGATCAGAAGAAATGTCAGCTAATAGCTGTATCACTCAAGATAATAAAGTCATAAAATCTGTTGCACACAAGGAAAGAGTCTACAAACTACTCGCACTTGTCTAAGCTAATGAAACATAAAATTATCAATATCGTTGCTAAGTCTTCAAAAGATGATCAGTGACTAAAGATCAGTTCCTTGTGTCCTATTTCCTTTGGCACATGTATGAAAACCACAAAGTTAATAATATATACCAAATGTAATGAACATAGTTCCATAGTACGCAGCTTCCACTAGTATGATGATGGACACACAATCTTATGCTTAACCACTCAATTGAGATAATTCCATTAAATGTCATTCACTAAAAGTATTTGTCTCTGCTGTACCATCTCACGAGTACTCCATCATGTGAATACAGAAAGATCACAAAGTTCTAATATCACATGTATAAATGTCATTGAATCTTGAATACCGTGCTGGAATCCACAAAAGGTTTTTTGTAAAACTTTGCAAAGGTGCTGGTATTGCTCCATCCAGCTGTACTTAGTATTGAGGTTATTGGTACCTGCAGCCTAGATGCTGCAGAAACTGATGCTGCTCTTGTGCTATGCGGTGTAAAGATATTCATATCTATCCCAGCACTAGCCAACGTTGTCTTAATCCATCTTGCTAATGTTGCTTTAGACACTGGTTTGTAAGGCTTTTGAAACCCCAAAAACAGTTTTGAGTGTTGTCCTCTAAGAGGTTAAGTTCTTGTTAGGTAGTCTTTACATATTGACACAACACAAAGCTGTTTGTCCTCAAACTGCTGAAGGGTTATCTCCCTTTGATGGAAACCTGGACGAGTCTGTTTTAGTGCATCTCCAAATCTAAGTTTCAGACTAGAATCTGTTAGAGAAATGTTCTTTATATCCAACAAGTGAAGGGATTGTAGTCGTTGGCCTGTTAATAGTGCCAACATAGTAACCAGCTTCAGTGTTAAAGATTTTAATGTCCCACAGTCCATAGTCTTTAAGAATGTTAACACTTGCTCAGGGTCCCATGAAACATTGTTCCTGGGCAAAGCCGGTCGTAAATTGAAAACTCCTTTCATAAATCTCTTGATCAAGGGATGAGTGCCACATCCTTGGCCATTAATAACAACAAATGTGGACAACATTGACCTAGCGCTGTTAATGGCACTATAACCAAGTCCTTTGTGGTAAAGTGATATTAAAAAGCTCAAAATGTCTCTGATATCAGGTGACACGGCACAAATGTGTTCCGAACTCGCAAATGTTGTCCATTTTTTAAAGAATGTTGAATACTGTTTGACTGTTGATGGTCGCCATGATGACAAGTTGATCTGTTCAACGTCTGGCGGAATTGACAACATTCGGAGGGATCTCCTGACACCCGACAAGCCATTAATGTCATCTTTGGAAGGTTGTTCCTGTCCCTGGTTCCTCGTTGTGGATGACTGAGGATTCTGTTGACCGTAGGTAAAATAAAAACACAATCAATAATACAGTTCAGAAGATGTGAATACCATGGCTGAGTAGACCACATTGGTGCTATTAATAAAGCTTGTGTTTTATCCTCACATATTTTTTGGAGAATTTTACCCAATTAAGAGAATAGCGGAAAAATGAAACTGTAAGAGTTCCATGTTAATGTAAAAGCATCAACTGCACATGCAAAGGGATCAGGCTTCCAAGATACATACTTGGGAAGCTGTGCATTTAGTCTGGAAGCAAACAAATCAATTTGTGGTCTGCCCCAAATTTTTACCAAGATTTGAAAAATACTTGTATGTAACCTCCATTCTGTGTTTTCATGTTCAAGTCTACTTTCTGTATCAGCCTCAACATTTTCACGACCTGGAATGTGGGCTGCGGATAACCATATATCCCTATCAATAGCCCATTTTCCAGACTTTAACAGCCAACTCATTACAGGCTTTTGTCTTTCCCCCCATGTTAATATGATCAAGGCTTTAAGGTCAAACTTAAAGCAGGTGGACGATGGTCTCTTGAGGAAAGCCTTGATCATATTAATTATCTGGAGTTGAAAGCAGCATGGTTTACATGTCAGGCATTGTGTAGAGACCTACAATACAACGGCTATTGCATACATTTCTAACATGGGGGGGAAAGACAATCGTTAGTGATGATGTATGGTATATGGAAAGGAATTATATACAGTACTGTTTGGTGAAGAAATTGTTTAATAATTAATCGTTAGTGATGATGTATGGTATATGGAAAGGAATTATATACAGTACTGTTTGGTGAAGAAATTGTTTAATAATTAATCGTTAGTGATGATGTATGGTATATGGAAAGGAATTATATACAGTACTGTTTGGTGAAGAAGTTGTTTAATAATTAATCGTTAGTGATGATGTATGGTATATGGAAAGGAATTATATACAGTACTGTTTGGTGAAGAAGTTGTTTAATAATTAATCGTTAGTGATGATGTATGGTATATGGAAAGGAATTATATACAGTACTGTTTGGTGAAGAAGTTGTTTAATAATTAATCGTTAGTGATGATGTATGGTATATGGAAAGGAATTATATACAGTACTGTTTGGTGAAGAAGTTGTTTAATAATTAATCGTTAGTGATGATGTATGGTATATGGAAAGGAATTATATACAGTACTGTTTGGTGAAGAAGTTGTTTAATAATTAATCGTTAGTGATGATGTATGGTATATGGAAAGGAATTATATACAGTACTGTTTGGTGAAGAAGTTGTTTAATAATTAATCGTTAGTGATGATGTATGGTATATGGAAAGGAATTATATACAGTACTGTTTGGTGAAGAAGTTGTTTAATAATTAATCGTTAGTGATGATGTATGGTATATGGAAAGGAATTATATACAGTACTGTTTGGTGAAGAAGTTGTTTAATAATTAATCGTTAGTGATGATGTATGGTATATTAATAATTAGTGATTAGTGAAGAATATTCATATTTTCGACAACCAACGAGGGATAAACAACGTCGAAACAAGATGTAAATCATCATTTTGCCTTGACTTGATCTCATATATTTTTAATTTTCATATTATGTGATTTTACCTCTTTAATCTGTTCTTCAGATTTCCTTATTTTTCTTCATTTAACAATTGGTAAGTTGAAAAGTATCATTATTCTCTTCCTTTATTTTGTGGTTACCTTCCAATTCATTTTGGAAACGCCACTTTTCCAATTCGAAATTGAAAGGTGACAAACACATAGATTATATATATAGTAGTCAGTTCGTATTTGTACTTTATTTTAATGCACAAAGAACTTTTTGTGTTACCTTTAATTTGGATTACCTCTCTTCGATTAGGTCTCTGAAATTTAACCTCGATTAGTATAATTTGATTTATCAAGAACCAAACAAGACCGTTGAATAGGATTCTGTAACTCACTAAACGATAAGACAGATACAAAAACTGTATGGAACAAATTAGGGCCATAATTGGCACCCCCCCTAAATAAAATGCCTATTCTAGGAAAAATGCAGAGGGCAAGCCGAATAGTGAAAAGGCAGAGATTTTAGTCGAACAATTTCAAAAGGCAAGTAGTTTTGAGAACTATACTAAGGAATGTAAAGAAAGTAAGACAAAAACACAGACAACACGTGAAATATAATTATGATTAAAGATGATGGTAAAGAAAACTAGAGATAAAACAGTCCATTTTCAGGTAAGGAATATTTAAGAGCTCTCAGTTTAAAAAGTACTTCCCTCGGCATAGATAATCTATCTTATACCATTCCTATATGTTGTCCGGATAGCCTGAATTATTTCATCATTGAATTATTTACAACAATATGGAAGTCAGTTATAATCTTGGAATAGTGCTGTTGTTATACTTATTCACAAACCGGGATATTCCAGAATCCTATTGCCTTGACCTCTCACCTATGTATTATTATCATTACATTCTTAATGGCCCGTCAACACATAAAAGGACATTAGGGCCATCAACCCCTACTAGTAAAACACTAGAAACAATTATTAACAGATGCAGACACTACTTAGAAAAAAAAACTGAAAATAATCAATGAAAATCAAAGCGGATTTAGGAACAAGTAGAAAAAATTAAGACAAGGTAAATAACTCCGTGTTATCAGATAAATTTACTAAATCATACTCATCGAGGATAAATTTTTAGAACCTTACTTGAAGGGAGGTAACCCAAATTTACGATAAGACAAAAGTTCGTCTTGCTCAGAAAATATCGGCTTATAGTATCTATGTTTGTCTCCTCTAAATATCGAATTGGAAAAGTGTCGTTGGTGAAGTGAATTGGATGACAAACACAAAATAAGAACCAAATTATTATACTTTTCAACATGCAAGTTATCAAATACACCATCACTAACGGTTAATTATGAAACTTTACCAAACAATATTGTAAATAAACACATCCGCTAATTTCCAATTACGAAATAATTTCTCCATCATTTCCATAACGTTACCAATTTCGTCAGTCAAAAAACTGTTAGCGATATCTTGAAGGATGGTGCTGTTAGTATGATCAATGGATTGATGTTAATCTCACCAAATGGTTGTTTGGAAACGATCTCCTTAATCGTAAAAGAGACAATACTCATCCATTGTTGTGGAATCGAAACTGAAAAAGATTGCGGGACAGCTGTAACCCCCAATACAACTACCATCAAACAAACAAACACAAACGAATACCTTCAACTTAAAGACAAGCAAGAACATAAGAATAGATTTTGTGGACCAGTGGAAACCATCGCCATCAGGTGATGGGATTACTTTTTATTTCAAACCCAGTATAAATCAAGCGACCACGACAACATTCCCTTCTGATCTAAGCTTAAGACATAATTGAAATAGAAATGTATAATTTTCATTTAAGAAGGATTTTATTGCTCAAACTTTTCTTGGGATGTGTGAAAATTATCACTAATATATTTGCGACCAGCAATGAGCAACTTTTCCAGATATTATTGAACCATTTCAAAAGGTATTCTTTGACTTCTATTGTGAAAAGAAAAAAGACAAATCTTAAAGGCTTCCGCTGTTTAAAATTGTGCTTGTCATGGTGTTCATGTACCATCCGAATCCTTTGAGTGGAACAATAATTAGTATAAAGACGATAATCAACAGACGACACCTATATGTCTATATGTATTTACAGAGAAAACCTACTACAGTCACAGGTGGCAAAATATATGGCTTTGCTATTGATCCTAGAAAAAAATATTTGTTAAAATGCAACAAAAGAACAGAAAATAAACACAAAAACAAAAACAAAACAAAAAACTAACAAATATCACATGGGACCTTGATATCGTTATTGGAATTTGGTGCCTACATTTAGTGTTTTTCTATATAGTCAACTTTTGAATGAGCAGTCAGAAATGAAATCTCTGCTCAAAGGACGTATTTTTAATAACTAGGTCGCTCTGACCTAATACAATGGTTGAATAATATTTCAGATATTAAAAGTCTCCAATTTTACTCAGTCAACCCGACCGTACAATTTAAACAAATACTACAAATGTACCCAAAAGGGATGAAGATGTTATTGTCGCTCAATTAAACCCTTGGGCTAGGGACATTGTAAAGCATTTTCTCACAAATCACCTTATCAACACTCATGAATTCCAAGGAGTCATAAGTGATGATCTTTTCTCCATCAAAAATAACTGCTTCTTACTTCCTATTATATGTCACTTACTGCGGTGGTATTTTCCGAACAATGGGAACGGCAGTTTTTTTTAGACTGGCAACCATAGCATATTACTAGACTTGTCATTGTCTCTAGAATATCTAAACAGTAAAAAGTCAGGCTTGTTCATCAATTTATGAGAGGTTTCTAGCCGCCCCTTCCTTTCTCCTACTCCCTTAGACAGAACATGAACTGTGACTATCTATTGAACAGTGGATCCCTATGATTACACCTGGTAAAACTGAAATTGTCAAACTAACAATGATATAGTCCTCAGAATCCGTTCCGAATGTTAAGATCTTTTACAAGTTACGCTTTTGTCACAAAATTAAAAAGGCTATTTATCATCAATGATTGCTGTAATCTTGATTGGTACACCAACACCAGGAATGTCAATTGTCTTCGGTAAGGGAATGACGCAAACTTCCTTGTAATTTTAGTTGTGCACTAATCCAGCATACAATCTAAAAGCGAAAAATTCAAGGTTGTTTGGTGTGTTTCGATTGTTTCAAAATTTAACTAGGTTTGTGTTCAGTACATTTCAGTAGTTCGTCAGAAGTTGCATTTTCAACAATTTTGTTTGTTTTGATTCCTAATAATGGATTATTTTGAAGAAAGAAGATGTAAAAACAATCGTCATTTGATAGCAAGTTAATCAGACGGTTTTGAGTATCAGCTGAAAACAACAACGGACTAAGATTCACTAATAATTTCTTTGTTATTTCAGTTAAAGCCCCAATATACGTAAAAATCACTATAAAAACAAACTTTATCTTATTTTCCCCGTAATATATGTAACAAAACAAATACTTTCCTTTAATTAAAGAAAATAAAACTGACTGTTTTCAATTGAAATAAAAATTGAAAAAATCGGAAAATAAGCAATGTGGGACCCACAATAATTCATACATTACCGCTCATAGCGATGACATTGCGCATGCGCATATTCCGCGTGTGTAAACATGGCAGACACAGTACAGATGTCCACTAGTCGCTTCCTTTTTTTCCAATCATACATCAGGCCAGTTCTGAATTTTTACGTTATAATTGTGCGTCGTATCGTTTCTAAACTAATTATTCCTTCTAATAATTTCCCAAGAACTGAATGTTTATCACAGGAATACCTTAAGTCTACGACAAGACTTCGCAAACAATGTTTGTAAACAAAATCTTACCGTAGACATATCCGCATGCCCTTCTATAACTAGAAACCTTAACTCTCGCGAGATCAGGTCATGAACTTTCCGACGTGGTTCGGCAACAATCGTACTTTCGATGGCGGCGTGTTTAAAATGGGGTGTGTTTACAAAGAGCGACTTTCAACTGCTCATATATCAAT